ATTCTTGGAATTTTCCAAGACTTATCCAATTACCCCAACTCTGTTTTTTGGCTTGGAAGGTTGTCTAAATAAGGCCTTTAATGAGATAATTTCATCAAAGCAATTCAAGGTTGTTTTTCAGTATCACGTAGACCAGAGGTTGCAACCTTTTTCTGTAAAAGGCCAGAGAGTAAATGTTTTCAGCTTTGAGGGCTGTGGTCTTTGTTGCAACTATTTAACTCTGCCATTGCTAGCAGCAATAGACAACACAAAACAAATGAATATGGCTGTGTTCCAATAAAACTTTATTTACAAAACCAGGAGGTAGAGTAGATTTGGCCTGTAGGGCGTAGTTTGCTGACCCTTGATGTAAATAATCAACAGGCTGATCCAGTTTTTTTTCCTACTTTATCCCATTTTTTCAACATCACGTATCTATCGCTGAGTTTATTCCTTAGCTGAAACCATGTGTGTTGGTGCCTGCACAAATAACTTGTGGTACCAGAGCCCCCTAAGGTGATTAATAAAATTACATTTTTTAAAAGAAATACCGATTATGATTTCCTATAAGCCCCGTTATCTGCATATAACAGACAGGCTCTGCAAAGCCTCACAAGAACCAAACTAGTTAAAGAGAAAGTGCCACATGACCTTTGAAAAGCCACTTATTGAATCTCACTAAGTCCCAATTCCTCAACTGTAAAAAAAGAAGATCATGACAGTGTTACAGTGGATGAAATTAAATATTGAATGTAAAACCACTTTGGAAATGAAAAAGTTCTTCAAATGTAGGCTATTATTATTTTCAATTCTTTTGAAAGTTTACTATAGAGAGGAATACTATGGTGAATCATTTTGCAATATTCTATAAAGATTATCAGAACTTCTTTGCCTTTATTTTATAAACCTAAATTTTTCCTATACCATTTTTCTTCATTATACCAATCTAAAATATATACAAAATTCCTTGAATTTCTCCAATGAATTTATAAAAGTTATCGTAATTGTGGAAGTGACAAACAGAAGCATTTTATAAAAATGTTCTTTTGGTAACAGTTTTTTTTTGTTGTTGTTATTGCTTTGTTTTCCAGAATATCTATTATTCACAATAGGATTTTCTTCAAAATAAAATAAAAACAAAATATATTAATTCAAGGCATTATCTAATATTTGTATTATTCAAACCCAAGAATGTGATCCCAGACTTAATGAGGAAACAATCATACAATCTGCAACTATAATTTCAAATAGAAGACTGATGGAAATACAACAAGGTCCTCTCTCACACCTCTCTAAATGGATTCAGGCATGGAGGCCTAGTTTATAGTACTTAGCCTGAAATCATTACAGTGTAATAATGTATTACAGCCTTACTGGATGAACTAAAAAACAGTATCTCACCTAAAAAAAAGCATGGGTTTGGGGAGTAGTGCCAAGTCAAAGGTAAATAGAACTAAACTTTCTGAAAACAATTGAGAAATATTACTAAATCCAGTTGGTAAGGGAAAAAACAAACATAACATGACTTGACTTTGTTTTGGGGGAATAATTTTGATGTGTGTGTAAAGCTGATGTCCTAGGAGTTAAAACGGAATCAAACAGTCAGCAAGAAGAACTTCCCATAACATATCGAAGTCATGCTAATATACAACATAAAATTGCTTTTCTTTTTATCTTGAAGCTAAGAAGTTAGAAACCACATTTTGTATATATCGGCTCTAAGATCATGGGTTCAATATCTCACTGAAATAAACCAGCTGTATTAAAATGAGTCTTTGTGTTAATATCAAAAATCAAACCAAAGGCACTGCCATGGAGTCACTCCTAGTGACCCTTTAGGACAGGAAGAACTACACCATAGGGTTTCCAAGGCTGTAAATATGTAAGAAGGCAGACTGCTTCATTTTTTTTCCCCCATGGAGTGGCTGGTGGGTTCGAAATGCCAATCATTTGGTTAATAGCACAGTGCTTTAACCACTGTGCCACCAGAGCTTTGTTAATAGAAGGAAGTTATTTGTTACTCTGTGTTTTTGTGTTTTGTTTGGTATTTCCCACCAAACAAAAAAACCAGTTTATCAACAAAAAGAAAGTTTAGTATGGTAAGATATAACTTATTAGCTATATAGAAAGTTTCATTGCTATTAAAAGACCTATTTCCAGAAGGTTCTGAATGTCTCATTGGCTTCTTGGGGAAATGCCAAACAAAATATAAAAATACAAGGTAACAAATAACTTCCTTCTATTAACAAAGTAGCTAAAATGAATGAAAGAAATGAGAAGAGCTGAACAGATGATTTCAAAGGGCAGTTGAAGAACACACATAAACATAAAAAATAAATATACTATTTTTTTATGGTAAAAACTGAAACTAGCAGAGAAAATACAAAATACATATTTTCTACAATTTTCAAGAGAAAATTAGAATCATACATAACCCCATCATCCAGAAATAGCTGGCTTAGTAGATTTCCTTGAGCTCAGGTTTGTATTTTCAAACTCATTTATATACATGTTCTATTGTAAGCTTTGTCTCTGGTTATTATTTATATACATGTTAAATGGTAGTAATAATTACATGCGATAATTTACTTGGGAGCTCTAGTAGCATAGTAGCTAAAAGCACTTGACTGCTAACCAGA